TATATCGACATTCACCTGAAAGGCCGCTCAGCAAGGAAGAAGCCACTGCTCCAAAGCCGCCATAAAAAAGCCAGACTACGGTTTGCAACTGCACTTGGGGACAAAGATCTTACTTTTTGGAGAAATGTCCTCTGGTTTGATGAAACAAAAATAGAACTGTTTGGCCATAATGACCATCGTTATGTTTGGAGGAAAAAGAGGGTGGCTTGCAAGCCGAAGAACACCATCCCAACCGTGAAGCATGGGGGTGGCAGCATCATGCTGTGGGGGTGCTTTGCTGGAGGAGGGACTGGTGCACTTCACAAAATAGATGGCATCGTGAGAAAGGAAAATTATGTGGATATATTGATGCAACAACTCAAGACATCAGTCAGGAAGTTAAAGCTTGGTCGCAAAAGGGTCTTCCAAATGGAAAATGACCGAAAGCATACTTCCAAAGTTGTGGGAAAATGGCTTAAAGATAACAAAGTCAAGATATTGGAGTGGCCATCACAAAGCCCTGACCTCAATCCAATAGAAAATGTGTGGGCAGAACTGAAAAAGCGTGTGCGAGCAAGGAGGCCTACAAACCTGACTCAGTTACACCAGCTCTGTCAGGAGGAATGGGCCAAAATTCACCCAACTTTATGTGGGAAGGTTGTGGAAGGCTACCCGAAACGTTTGACCCAAGTTAAACAATTTAAAGGCAATGCTACCAAATACTAATTGAGTGTATGTAAACTTCTGACCCACTGGGAATGTGATGAAAGAAATAAAAGCTGAAATAAATCATTCTTTCTACTATTATTCTGACATTTCACATTCTTAAAATAAAGTGGTGATCCTAACTGACCTAAGACATGGAATTTTTACTAGGATTAAATGACAGGAATTGTGAAAAACTGAGTTTAAATGTAGTTGGCTAATGTGTATGTAAACTTCCGACTTCAACTGTAGGTTCCCAAGAGGGGATAAGCAGTATTTATGTTATTTTATTAGGATCCCCATTAAGTGTTGCGAAAGCAATAGCTACTCTTCCTGGGGTCCACACAAAACATGAAACATGACATAGTACAGAACATTAATAAACAATGTGAGAGTTCAGTGACCAGACGGAGGAAGACAACACGACAGTACCCTCCTCAGGGTTATAGGTACTAGTGTAAAGCCAATTAGCACACAGCTGGGCCCACTAATTGCTTGGTGTCTTCCTCTATATAGGTGTGCCAGGAGAGGAGCTGAGGGAGGATTGGGAGGATTGGGTGTAGAGACGGGGACCTGTGAGGACATCGTATTGACCTACCTCAGAGAAAGCTTCTTCGTCTGGGGCACCTAGTCTCTCTGTTAACTAAGGCAGATTATAGATAGAGAGAAACGCTCCTCCTGTAACTATTATATGTAGACGATAGTCTAAAGACAGGAGTAGACGTTTGTTTTTTTGCTTTCCCTTTTTGGGCCACGGCCTTTTGGTCAACGGCTTAGTTTATGTTTATTTGTTTTGTTACGCTGCGTTGGACATTACCCTGTATTGGAATTATTTTGTTGGGTGAATGAAAACCTGTTCAGTAACAATACAAAAGAAAAGGAACCACAACCACTGCCTCTGGTCTGTTCATTTCATGCCTCCCACTTGTGTTAGGGTGCTTCGGACAAGCAGATCCGTTCACAACAAGAACAGCTCAAGAACAGAACTACAGTGGGGAAAAAAAGTATTTAGTCAGCCACCAATTGTGCAAGTTCTCCCACTTAAAAAGATGAGAGAGGCCTGTAATTTTCATCATAGGTACACGTCAACTATGACAGACAAAATGAGGGAAAAAAATCCAGATAATCACATTGTAGGATTTTTTATGAATTTATTTGCAAATTATGGAGGAAAATAAGTATTTGGTCAATAACAAAAGTTTCTCAATACTTTGTTATATACCCTTTGTTGGCAATGACACAGGTCAAACGTTTTCTGTAAGTCTTCACAAGGTTTTCACACACTGTTGCTGGTATTTTGGCCCATTCCTCCATGCAGATCTCCTCTAGAGCAGTGATGTTTTGGGGCTGTCGCTGGGCAACACGGACTTTCAACTCCCTCCAAAGATTTTCTATGGGGTTGAGATCTGGAGACTGGCTAGGCCACTCCAGGACCTTGAAATGCTTCTTACGAAGCCACTCCTTCATTGCCCGGGTGGTGTGTTTGGGATCATTGTCATACTGAAAGACCCAGCCACGTTTTAATCTTCAATGCCCTTGCTGATGGAAGGAGGTTTTCACTCAAAATCTCACAATACATGGCCCCATTCATTCTTTCCTTTACATGGATCAGTCGTCCTGGTCCCTTTGCAGAAAAACAGCCCCAAAGCATGATGTTTCCACCCCCATGCTTCACAGTAGGTATGGTGTTCTTTGGATGCAACTCAGCATTCTTTGTCCTCCAAACACGACGAGTTGAGTTTTTACCAAAAAGTTATATTTTGCTTTCATCTGACCATATGACATTCTCCCAATCCTCTTCTGGATCATCCAAATGCACTCTAGCAAACTTCAGACGGGCCTGGACATGTACTGGCTTAAGCAGGGGGACACGTCTCGCACTGCAGGATTTGAGTCCCTGGCGGCGTAGTGTGTTACTGATGGTAGGCTTTGTTACTTTGGTCTCAGCTCTCTGCAGGTCATTCACTAGGTCCCCCCGTGTGGTTCTGGGATTTTTGCTCACCGTTCTTGTGATCATTTTGACCCCACGGGGTGAGATCTTGCGTGGAGCCCCAGATCGAGGGAGATTATCAGTGGTCTTGTATGTCTTCCATTTCCTAATAATTGCTCCCACAGTTGATTTCTTCAAACCAAGCTGCTTACCTATTGCAGATTCAGTCTTCCCAGCCTGGTGCAGGTCTACAATTTTGTTTCTGGTGTCCTTTGACAGCTCTTTGGTCTTGGCCATAGTGGAGTTTGGAGTGTGACTGTTTGAGGTTGTGGACAGGTGTCTTTTATACTGATAACAAGTTCAAACAGGTGCCATTAATACAGGTAACGAGTGGAGGACAGAGGAGCCTCTTAAAGAAGAAGTTACAGGTCTGTGAGAGCCAGAAATCTTGCTTGTTTGTAGGTGACCAAATACTTATTTTCCACCATAATTGGCAAATAAATTCATTAAAAATCCTACAATGTGATTTTCCGGATTTTTTTTTCTCAATTTGTCTGTCATAGTTGACGTGTACCTATGATGAGAATTACAGGCCTCTCTCATCTTTTTAAGTGGGAGAACTTGCACAATTGGTGGCTGACTAAATACATTTTTTCCCCACTGTACATACATTTTAAAAAAGGCACACATAGCCTACATATCAGTACATACACACAATATCTAGGTCAAATAGGGGAGAGGTGTTGTGCCGGCAGGAGTTGCTTTATCTGTTTTTTCAAACCAGGTTTGCTTTTCATTTGAGCAATATGAGATGGAAGGGAGTTCCATGCAATAATGGCTCAATATAATACTGTATGCATTCTTGAATTTGTTCTGGATTTGGGGACTAAGAGATAAATCCAATTCAATACTAATGGAAATATTCTTGTTTTTGTGCTGTTCAGCATTGCATAAAATACAAAACATATCCAGTCTGAACATCTCATATGAAACATCTGATAATAACAGGGAGAAGAATGATGGACAGGGTGGAGTACTAAGGCATAGAGCAGACAATCTCTCCCTCTCAGTCTGTATTTAAACCTCTAGAGGGCGGTCTATGCAAAGTCTCCCTCCAATTCATCCCTTTATAATCAGACACTCAATTCTGGCCTTCTCATTATAATCAGCTTGGAGTCATATTACAGCAAGTTCTGTACTAACTAATACTGAACAATGAGGACTGTCTGGAGTTTAGTACTCATGTTGGTGTCTGTAAAAAGTAAGTGACAATATTATGTGTCAAGTAAAATTAATGTACCGTCATTTTAATGTTTTTTAAAAATGTTTTATGAACTGCTTGAAACATTGATGGATTTTTTGTAATTTTATTTCCAAAGGTGTTCAGGGTCAGACACTGACTGAGTCTGAATCCGTGGTTAAAAAGCCTGGAGAATCCCACAAACTGACCTGTACATATTCTGGGTTTAGTAGCAACTTTTGGAATGCTTGGATCAGACAGGCTCCTGGGAAAGGACTGGAGTGGGTTGCAACTATTAGTGATGGTGGTGTCCGCACTTACTACTCCCAGTCAGTTCAGGGTCAGTTCACCATCTCCAGAGACAACAGCAAGCAGCAGGTGTATCTCCAGATGAATAGTCTGAAGACTGAAGACTCTGCTGTTTATTATTGTGCTCGAGAGACACAGTGAAGCAGGAGGCTGCAGCGCTGTACAAAAACTGATCAAGCAAGCATTTCTCTTGCTGTGAGAGTCTGTGAAACAATTCTGAGCTCTAGTCTCTGTCAACATCAATCCCATCGCCCCACCAACACTAGGAGAGAGTAGACACATACTACTCTAAATTATAACCATCATTATTTGAAAGCATAAAACATACTTGTCATTTTTTGAAAGATAAATACATAAATGTCTTTACAGCCATTCGATAATGTGTGCAGTCATTCAGTCAAAATAATTATCAATCTCTAGCAGCTAAAATCATTTACTTCATAATGTCTTTCAATTTGGTGAGTTTATTTGAATGAAACCAAATGTCAAATTTCAGCAAACAGAATTAGTACAATATGTAATACAGAACCATGAAGGTCAATAATGTTAAAGTATAGATGAAACAAGTATAGATGACACAAGTATAGATGGAACAAGTATAGATTGAACAAGTTTAGATGGAACAAGTTTATTGTATTAATCCTAATAGATTATTTAATCCTGTACTGTTCTGAGAAACAATGCTACCAATATGAACTCTCAAAGAACATCTCCATCTCAGGCTATATTTTAGCCTATAGAGGGAGGTCTATGCAAAGTCTCACCCCTTTATCCCTTCATAATCAGAAACTCAGCTCTGGCCTTTTCATTATAGTCAGCACTAACTATGACTGAACAATGGAACTGATGACTGTCTGGAGTTTAGTTCTCATGGTGATGTCCATACATAGTAAATAAATCATTACATGGTGACTGAAGAATGAATCATGGTTAAACCCGAAATCAATGTAAATATCACATCTTCAACTGAATCTTGAAACGTTTTTGTTTCGCAGGTGTTTGTTGATATATCAGGCTGTATCAGTCTCTTCCTCAAGTGAAATGACCTGGAGACAATGTTAAATTGTCCTGTAAAATATCTGGTTTCTCAATGAGTGGCTACTGGATACACTGGATGAGGCAGAATATCACAAAGCACTACATAATTAAAGAGTCCAGCCTCTAACAATCAGACGAACTCTTGCCCTGTCTGGTCAAGCTTTCTTGTTAACACTTGAACAAGTATTTAACAAACTATTCAGAACATATGAATCTGTTCCCCATCTCTGAATTCTCTATTTAATCTCTGTGTGATCTTCCCTGTGAGGAGGAGTTAATGCAAAACTCTGAGGTCATCCATCACTACTTATCTCTCTGCAGAGTGGAGGGGAGGGACTGAAGCTCTGACTAGACTGAGGAACAGAGACACACCATAAGTACTAATAGTTCATCATGACATTTACTATTGTGGTTCTACTGATGACAATAGGCTTGACAGGTGAACACTACTAGACAGTTTTTATTTGATACAGACTTATCACAGAGGTTTTGATTCAAGGTATTTCATTAAATGTTACTTTGTCTCCACAGGTGTTCAGAGTCAGACATTGACTGAGTCTGGACCAGTTGTTAAAAAGCCAAGAGAATCACCCAAACTGACCTGTACAGCCTCTGGGTTCACTTTCAGTAGCTACTGGATGGCTTGGATCAGACAGGCTCCTGGGAAAGGACTAGAATTTATGGCAGCACATTATGACAGTAGCAATATTGCCTACTCCCAGTCTGTTCAGGGTCGGTTCACCACCTCCAGAAACAATAGAAAGCTGCAGGTGTATCTCCAGATGAACAGTCTGAAGACTGAAGACTCTGCTGTTTATTATTGTGCCAGAGACACAGTGACACCGTGTGCTGCAGCACAATACAAAAACTGATCTCACCCATCGACACACAATATCCCATAAAGACAAAGTGAAAACATGTTTTTAGACATTATTTGAAATGTATTGATAATGAAATACAGACATATCTCATTTACATAAGTATTCACACCCCTGAGTCAATACCTTTGGCGGCGATTACAGCTGTAAGTCTTTTTGGGTAAGTCTCTAAGAGCTTTGCACACCTGGATTGTACATTATTTTCCCATTATTCTTAAAAAAATTATTCAAGCTCTGTCAAGTTAATTGTTTATCATTGCTTGACAGCCATTTTCAAGTCTTGCCATAGATTTCCAAGCCGATTAAGTTAAAACTGTAACTAGGCCACTCAGCAACATTCAATGTCATCTTGGAAAACAACTCCAGTGTATATTGTACCTTGTGTTTTAGGTTATTGTCTTGCTGAAAGGTGAATTTGTCTCCCAGTATCTGATGGAAAGCAGACTGAATCACATTTTCCTCTAGGATTTTGCCAGTGCTTACAGCTGTATTCTGTTTTTTTTTTATCCCAAAAAACTCCCTAGTCCTTGCCGATGACAAGCATACAGTTAACATGATGCATCCACCACCACTCTTGAAAATATGAAGAGTGGCACTTAGTGATGTGTTGTGTTGGATATGCCCCAAACAACGCTTTGTACTCAGGACAAAAAGTTAATTTCTTTACCACATTTTTTGCAGTGTTAATTAAGTGCCTTGTTCCCAACAGGATGCATGTTTTGGAATGTTTTTATTCTGTTCAGGCTTCCTTTTTTTTACACTGTCATTTAGATTAGTATTGTGAAGTAACTACAATGTTGCTGATCCATCCTCAGTTTTCTCATACTGTATCACAACCATTAAACTCTGTAACTGTTTTAAAATCACCATTGGCCTCATGGTGAAAACCCTGAGCAGTTTCCTTCGTCTCCGGCAACTGAGTTAGGAAGGACGCCTGTATCTTTGTAGTGACTGGGTGTATTGATACATCATCTAAAACCTAATTAATAGCTTCACATGCTCAAAGGGATATTCAGCATCTGCTTGATTTTTATTTATTTTCACGTTTACCAATGGGTGCCCTTTTTTGCGAGGCATTGAAAAACCTCCCTGGTCTTTGTACTTGAATCTGTGCTTGAAATTCACTACTCGATTGAGGGACCTTACAGATAATTGAATGTGTAGGGTACAGAGATGGGGTAGTTATTCAGAAATCATGTTAACCACTATTATTGAACATGGAATGAGTGGGTGCAACTTATTATGCGATTTGTTAAGCACATGTTGACTCCTGAACTTATTTAGGCTTGCCATAACAAAGGGATTGAATACTTATTGACTCATGACATTTCAGCTTTAAATTTAGACCATGTCCCAAGACCATCTCCCTCAGTCACGACAACCCCTTCTAGTCTCATCCTTTGATTCCAGAATTGTAGATCTTCCCCACAATGACAGTTCTAGAATGTGTGTTCCTTCTGTCTCTCATCTCAGGTGAGTTAACTGGATGTATTTATGTCTAGTGTAGGAGAGAGGAGAGGAGCTGTGCTACTTGGCTGGAGGGTAACAATCATCTAAACTCTGTCTGTTTTTCAGCTGTTCAGGGGCAGTTAATCACCTCCTCTGAGCCAGTGGTGAACAGACCTGGAGAGTCAGTAACACTGTCCTGTACTGTGTCTGGATTCTCAATGGATAGCTACTGGATGCACTGGATCCATCAGAAACCATGGAAAGGACTTGAGTGAAATGGGCCATTTGATGCGAGCACTGGCACTATATTTGCCCAGTCTCTCCAGGGCCAGTTCATCATCACCAAATACAGCTCCAAAAACCAGCTGTACTTAGAGGCGAAAAGCCTGAAGCACCGTACAAAAACGGAGTAATACTGATCTCAGTGTGCGAGGCAAAGAGGCGTGTCTATTCTTTAAACACACAAACACACTCTATGAGAGAGCAGAACTACTCAACAGTAGTGGAAAAAACACTGATATCAATATTATCCTGACAAAATAATCCAACATTGTATAAAAGACTAAACATATCTAGTCTGAGCATCCCATATGAAACATCTGATAATAACAGAGAGAAGAATGAAGGACAGGGAGGAGAGAATCAATGAATAGAGCACAAGATCTCTCCCTCTCAGTCTGTATTTAAACCTCTAGAGGGCAGTCTATGCAAAGTCTCCCTCCCATTCATCCCTTCATAATCAGACACTAAGCTCTGGCCTTCTCATTATAGGAAGCTTGGACTGACATTACAGCGAGCCCTGAACTAACTAATTCTGAACAATGAGGACTCTCTATAGTTTAATACTTATGGTGGTGTTCATTCAAGGTATGTGTGTGAGTCTGTTGTGTCCACTAGAATCATTCTCAGACAGGCTTTTTCAAATAGTTTTCATTGTGACTGTTATAACTCAATAACAACAGAATTATGCCCTACAGATTAATAAAACGGGATGTGTTCAAACTTCAAAGTTATTTTTTAATTTGATCGTTTGTTAAACATTGTTTGCCATTTTGAATTTTCGCAGGTTTTCATGGCCAAACCCTGACTGAGTCTGAACCAGTGGCTAAAATGTCTGGAGAATCCCACAAACTAACCTGTACATATTCTGGAATCTCAACTAGCTCTGACTTTAACTAGATCAGACAGGCTTCTGGTAAAGGGTTGGAATGGATAGTTTACATTCATGGTCCAAGTGATAGTAGCATCTACTAGTCCCAGTCATTTCAGGGTCGGTTCACCATCTCCAGAGACAACAGCAAGCAGCAAGTGTATCTCCAGATGAACAGCCTGAAGACTGAAGACTCTGCTGTTTATTATTGTGCCAGAGACACAGTGACACAGGAGGCTGCAGCACCGTACAAAAACTGAGCAAGCACTTATTTTACTGTGAGACTCAGTGAGACAATTCTGAGCTCCAGTTTCTGTCAACATCAATCCCATCACCCCACCAACACTAGGAGAGAGTAGACACATCATATTCTAAATTATCATCCAAATCCATAAAATATACAGTGGGGAAAAAAAGTATTTAGTCAGCCACCAATTGTGCAAGTTCTCCCACTTAAAAAGATGAGAGAGGCCTGTAATTTTCATCATAGGTACACGTCAACTATGACAGACAAAATGAGAAAAAAAAATCCTGAAATTCACATTGTAGGATTTTTAATGAATTTATTTGCAAATTATGGTGGAAAATAAGTATTTGGACAATAACAAAAGTTTCTCAATACTTTGTTATATACCCTTTGTTGGCAATGACACAGGTCAAACGTTTTTTGTAAGTCTTCACAAGGTTTTCACACACTGTTGCTGGTATTTTGGCCCATTCCTCCATGCAGATCTCCTCTAGAGCAATGATGTTTTGGGGCTGTCGCTGGGCAACACGGACTTTCAACTCCCTCCAAAGATGTTCTATGGGGTTGAGATCTGGAGACTGGCTAGGCCACTCCAGGACCTTGAAATGCTTCTTACAAAGCCACTCCTTCGTTGCCCGGGCGGCGTGTTTGGGATCATTGTCATGCTGAAAGACCCAGCCACGTTTCATCTTCAATGCCCTTGCTGATGGAAGGAGGTTTTCACTCAAAATCTCACGATACATGGCCCCATTCATTCTTTCCTTTACACGGATCAGTCGTCCTGGTCCCTTTGCAGAAAAACAGCCCCAAAGCATGATGTTTCCACCCCCATGCTTCACAGTAGGTATAATGTTCTTTGGATGCAACTCAGCATTCTTTGTCCTCCAAACACGACGAGTTGAGTTTTTACCAAAAAGTTCTATTTTGGTTTCATCTGACCATATGACATTCTCCCAATCCTCTTCTGGATCATCCAAATGCACTCTAGCAAACTTCAGACGGGCCTGGACATGTACTGGCTTACGCAGGGGGACACGTCTGTCACTGCAGCATTTGAGTCCCTGGCGGCGTAGTGTGTTACTGATGGTAGGCTTTGTTACTTTGGTCCCAGCTCTCTGCAGGTCATTCACTAGGTCCCCCCGTGTGGTTCTGGGATTTTTGCTCACCGTTCTTGTGATCTTTTTGACCCCACAGGGTGAGATCTTGCGTGGAGCCCCAGATCGAGGGAGATTATCAGTGGTCTTGTATGTCTTCCATTTCCTAATAATTGCTCCCACAGTTGATTTCTTCAAACCAAGCTGCTTACCTATTGCAGATTCAGTCTTCCCAGCCTGGTGCAGGTCTACAATTTTGTTTCTGGTGTCCTTTGACAGCTCTTTGGTCTTGGCCATAGTGGAGTTTGGAGTGTGACTGTTTGAGGTTGTGGACAGGTGATAACAAGTTCAAACAGGTGCCATTAATACAGGTAACGAGTGGAGGACAGAGGAGCCTCTTAAAGAAGAAGTTACAGGTCTGTGAGAGCCAGAAATCTTGCTTGTTTGTAGGTGACCAAATACTTATTTTCCACCATAATTTGCAAATAAATTCATTAAAAATCCTACAATGGGATTTTCTGGATTTCTTTTTCTCAATTTGTCTGTCATAGTTGACGTGTACCTATGATGAAAATTACAGGCCTCTCTCATCTTTTTAAGTTGGAGAACTTGCACAATTGGTGGCTGACTAAATACTTTTTTTTCCCCACTGTACCTGACAACCTGTCAACATAACATTATGAATATCCTCATGAAACTTCAACTGAAAACTATATAGCCATTCAAAGTCAGTTGACAATGGCAAATAACTCCAAACAGTTTCAATAATTTATGCAGTCATTCAGTCAAATTAATTATCACTATCTAGCAGCTAAAACCATTTTTTGGGTAATATTTTTCAATTTGGGGAACTTATTTGCATGAAACCAAATGTCAAATTTCAGCAAACAGAATTCAGTTTTAAGTTTGAATGTCACATGCACTAGTACAGTGAAATGTATTTATTGCAAGCTCCAAACCCAACAATGCAGTAATCAATATCAATGTAATACAAAAAATAACAAAAGGTAGAACAAAAACACCTAAGAAATAAAAATAAGAAAGTAAGAAGCTGTATACAGCGTAACTTCCCATATCATTTACAGTGTTCAGGGATACTTGAGTGATAGAGGCAGATACAGTGGCTTGTTAAAGTATTCACCCCCTTGGCATTTTTCCTATTTTATTGCCTTACAACCTGGAATTAAAAGGGATTTTGGATTGAGGTCTGGGCTTTGACTAGGCCATTCCAAGACATTTAAATGTTTCTCCTTAAACCACTCGAGTGTTGCTTTAGCAGTATGCTTAGGGTCATTGTCCTGCTGGAAGGTGACCCTCCATCCCAGACTCAAATCTCTGGAAGACTGAAACAGGTTTCCCTCAAGAATGTCCCTGTATTTAGCGCCATCCATCATTCCTTATATTCTGACCAGTTTCCCAGTCCCTGCCCATGAAAAACATCCCCACAGCATGATGCTGCCACCACCATGCTTCACTGTGGGGATGGTGTTCTCGGGTTGATGAGAGGTGTTGGGATTGCGCCAGACATAGCGTTTTCCTTGATGGCCAATTTTAGTCTCATCTGAACATACTACCTTCTTCCATATGTTTGGGTAGTCTCCCACATGCCTTTTGGCGAACACCAAACATGTTTGCTTATTTTTTTCTTTAAGCAATGGCTTTTTTCTGGCCACTACCGTAAAGCCCAGCTCTGTGGAGTGTACGGCTTAAAGTGGTCCTATGGAGAGATACTCCAATCTCTGTTGTGGAGCTTTGCAGCTCCTTCAGGGTTATCTTTGGTCTCTTTGTTACCTCTCTGATTAATGCTCTCCTTGCCTGGTCCGTGTGTTTTGGTGGGCGGCCCTCTCTTGGCAGGTTTGTTGTGGTGCCATATTCTTTAAACATTTTATAGTGGATTTAATGGTGCTCCGTGGGATGTTCTAAGTTTCTGATATTTTTTTATAACCCAACCCTGATCTGTACTTCTCCACAACTTTGTCCCCGACCTGTTTGGTGAGCTCCTTGCCGCTTGCTTGGCGGTGGCCCTTGCTTAGTGGTATTGCATCATGTGACAGATCATATGACACTTAGATTGCACACAGGTGGACTTTATTTAACTAACTATGTGACTTCTGAAGGTAATTGGGTACACCAGATCTTATTTAGGGGCTTCATATCAAACCACTTTTCCGTTATTTATTTATTTGAATTTTTTGAAACTAGTTTTTTTTTTCATTTCACTTCACCAATTTGGACTATTTTGTGTACGTCCATTACATGAAATACAAATAAATATCCATTTAAATTACAGGTTGTAATGCAACAAAATAGGAAAAATGCCAAGGGGGATGAATACTTTTGCAACGCACTGTATGTATAGGGGTAATGGACTGGACTAGGCACCGGTGGAACGGACTGCTCCGGAGTGGAACCGCTGACCGGAGCTGGACTAGGCACCGGTGGAGCGGACTGCTCTTTCTCCGGAGTGGAGCCGCTGACCGGAGCTGGACTAGGCACCGGTGGAGCGGACTGCTCTGGCTCCGGAGTGGAGCTGCTGACCGGAGCTGGACTGGGCACCAGTGGAACGGGCACGGGCCGTGCCGGACTGGGAACACGCACCACTGGCTTGGTGCGAGGAGCAGGCACGGGCCGGGCCGGACTGGGAACACGCACCACTCGTCTGGTGCGAGGAGCAGCAACAGGCCGGGCCGGACTGGCGACACGCACCACTGGTCTGGTGCGAGGAGCAGGCACGTGCCGTACCGGACTGGAACACGCACCACTGGCTTGGTGTGAAGTTCAGGCACGGGCCGGGCCGGACTGGAGACACGCATCACTGGCCTGGTGCGGGGAGCAGGTACGGGGCGTGCCGGACTGGAGACACGCACCACTGGTTTGGTGCGGGGAGCAGGCACAGGCCGTACCGGACTGGGAACACGCACC